AGCCAACCAATCCATACCAAGGATGACATCAAACTCGGACACATGCACAACCAATCCATACCAAGGATGACATCAAACTCGGACACATGCAACACTATCAAATCTATGACAAACTCTAACTCATCTAGACTAATAATACACCTCCTACAAACGCTCTCCAGAAGCGATACCTTACCTAAAGGGATGGAAAACTGATAATGAAATGGAGCTACGATTTGGAGTCTAGTCATAAAAGCATACGAAATGAAAGAACACGAAGCTCCCGAATCGAAAAGAATACGGGCGAGAAAATGATTCATGAGGAATGTACCCTCCACAACTGCTCCGCTAGCTCCATGATCATGCGGAACTACTGCATATACTCCGCTAGCTCCATGATCATGCGGAACTACTGCATATACTCTGCCGGTGGCTGAAGACTGCTCTGCTAATGGTGCTGGAGAATATGGGATAATCTGCCCCCTGGGGAACCTCCTGAACTGCTAGAACCTGCCCCTCAGTCTTCTGCTGCTGCTGATTCGGACCATTTCCCTTCTAAGATCTTGTTGGTGCACTGCGGCACTCTAATGCCTTGTGTCCGACCTTGCGACAGATAAAACAAGTTCCTCGGAACTTGCGCTGCTGACGTGCTCTCTGATCCTGTTGGGATCCCTTCTTATGAGGGCCCTGCTACTGCTATTGAGGTCCGAACAAGGGTCTCTTGTTCTTACCCTTGTCTCCGGTGTGCCCTCTCTTAGCACTCCCTCCCTTGTCCTTCTGAAACTTAGCGGTCCCATTTTCCTGAGAAATGGCGGTTTCAACTATTGGTGGAGGTGGTGGTGTAATATGATTCGCCACAAGCTCCTCGATTGCTGCTATCCTAGAGACTAGGGGAGCCATAAGATCTATCAGGTACTGGGGAGCCTGCTGCGGCTCAGGTGGTGACTGATGTGGCTCGGGTGGAGTTTGCTGTGGTTCAGCCTGTCCAGATCTCCGAGTACGTGGCATACAATATTCTGACATCTGAGCATATAACAAAAAGAGTTCATGAGTCAAAATAGATATATATATACATACATAACGTATCACCATACGATTTTCACAATATACAGTATTCACACAAATACTTTAAACAAAAATAGTTATCATAAAAAAATTCTCAAATTTTTAGATATACGCATATATCGTCCTCACTCATACTAGGAAATCCTTAGCGGACTCTATACATGAATCCTAAGAAACCTGTGGAGCGGTCTTGGGGCAGCTACAGGTTGATAATACTGCCCTGATGAATTTGGTACACGGACAGTGAGAATCCGCTTCCCGGGTGTTTCTCTTTCGAGATTCATCCACACCTCCAGCCTGATAGTACAACTCACTGAGGTTGCCGTCGGAGTAACCTATCGGCCGCTCACATGGGTTCTCAGGTATAACGCGTTCGTTTGTTCGACGCGTCTTCTTCTGAGTAGACATTGCCTTTAGATATACGCATATATCGTCCTCACTCATACTAGGAAATCCTTAGCGGACTCTATACATGAATCCTAACAAACTCTATCCTAGATCCACGACTCGACATTGGATGATCCTAAGGATACTGGAACTAGAGCTCTGATACTAACTGTAACTCCCCTGGGTTCACACAAGAATGCAGTCCGATGTGAAACCAGGAATGTCAAACCTGCCATGCACCACACCGTACAATAATATGTTTCACCATCACAGTTACTATCTCTCTAGTAGAGTCAACAACAGGTGTAGGTACAAGCAACTAAAAGATAATACAAAAGATAAATGATGAAATGATAGAAATCAAAACAATACTTCATCATCCAATAAACGGAAATACAAAGGTCCATGTCTGAGTTAAACAAATCTGGAGATCTCAACAAGTATCAAATATACAATGTCTGATAATATGAAATAAGGCACACAGCCTTTACAACACTAGAATAAATACTCTCAAGTCTAAACAATACATCTACGGTGGAGCACCAAAATAAAATGTAACTAAACTAGATAGCTGATCACTATAGTGCATCGCCATTAACTTATGACTCTCCGGCTTCTGGCTCGTTACCTAAAAGGGGGAGGGACAACGAGCGTCAAAGTGCTAGCGAGTAACATCACAACCAACCCCAAGGGATAGGGCTCGTTGTATATGAAAATACAGTTAATACATAATAATATAATATCATCGATCCTAGCAAATATAGGGTTTTAGTATTTAGGAAACTACAACACGAGCATAGGTACATCGAGCGAAATAATCCAAACAAGGAAACCCTCATGTATATACCTTGTATCTCAAATTTTAAATCCCTAAATACCAAACCCGAAGTCTAACACAGGAACAAATAAATTAAAAGAAAACAAAACCCATCTCTACTTCCAAACATAGTGTCATGTCGAACTCACATGAGTGTCATGTCCGAAAACGATTAAGTGTCCAACACATAGACTATATAGATTAAATGTCCAACACATGGACTGCATGAAGTAAACGTCCAACACATGGACTGTAAGTAACGAGTGTCCAACGCATGGACTGAATATAATCAATATCCAACGCATGGACTGAATATAACCAATGTCCAATGCATGGACTAAATATAATTAATGTCCAACGCATGGACTGAATATAACCAATGTCCAACACATGGACTAAATATAATTAATGTCCAACGCATGGACTGAATATAACCAATGTCCAACGCATGGACTAAATATAACCAATGTCCAACGCATGGACCGAATGAAATGAATGTCCAACACGAGGACTGAAAGGTAATGCATGTCCAACACGAGGCTAAATATAAATTATGTAAAGTGTAAGTGTCGAATATATATATATATACACAAAAGATACACATAGACTCATGTCACACGTGCCTCGGTTTGCGGATCAGTACTTGTGTCAAAAGTCAACTCACATGTACAGATAATTCACTAACATTGTAAACTAGAGTCAGATAATCGAGGCGACCCCGAAAAGCAACTCAAACAAATCAAGAATCTGTAAAACACCTCATCAGTCGACTCATGTGTCGACTGATGCCATCAGTCGACTCTTGTATCGACTGATGCCATCAGTCGACTCATTGGTCGACTGAGGAGATCAGCCAGAACCACATCAGTTCGCCAGTCGACTGATCAGTCGACTGGGGAACTGACAGAAAAACAAATCAGCCCGTCAGTCGACTGATCAGTCGACTGATAGCTGGAAAAATCCAGCCCGTCGGTTGACTGATCAGTCGACTGAACCGACACAGAACTTGTTGTGCAGGTTTCGATTATTGCAATAAAATTTATCTAAAATCATCATCATAAATCCCAGGCATAAAGATACTAATTTTAACATATATGTACTAAATTGAAATGAAAGATCTGCATGTAAACATTTATCAAAAATCTTAAACATATAAAAACATGTTTGATACGTTTTGAAATCAATAAATCATGAATTAACTCTTGTCAAACATTTTCAGATCTAGATCTCTTTAATAAAACGTTGATGATCTTTTTATAAACTGAAAAGCTCAATATTTCGCATCATATACTATAAAGATTTATTCTTTGTACTAAAAATACGTTTTAGGCTCAATAAAAACTCATTAAAACTCAATAAATTCGTGTAAAACAAAAGAGACAGAGTTGGGCGAGATGTTACTCGCGTCAGGGGTGATGAAAAGCTCCTGAATCTACGAGAGAGTGGTTTCCTTCGCTGCAAAGTGAAAGTCTCGACGAAAATCCTCCGAGACCTCCCAAAAATCACCAAGAACGAATCTAGAGTTTGAGAGAGGAGAGAGGGGGCTAGGGTTTCTCAGATCTGATGATGAAAGGGGGTGTTTTCGGGTAGGAGAGATCATATATGAACAGCCAGACCCGACCCAAAACCCGAACCAATCAAAGCAGACCCGAAACCTGGAAAAACTGGAAAACAGCTCGTTAGTCGACTGATCGGTCTACTGAGCTCGTCAGTCGACTGATCGGTCGACTGATATGGCAGTTTTCCTGTTTCGTGCATGTTTTGCTTATTTGCAAAACCAACGCACAAAACTCTATATATATGCCTCATATCATCTCAAATAACATGTTATCATGTCCATCTATGAACCCAAGCTATTTATCACCATAATTCACATATACACATAACAAAGAAAAAATGAACCCAAGCTATTTATCACCATAATTCACATATACACATAACAAAGAAAAATACGGGGTTTTACAGACTATTATCATAAATCTCTTCTCTATATCATGTTCATTGTATTTTATTCTTATTTTATCTGCTTTGTACCTACACTTATTTATTGTTGATTCCACTAGAGAGATATTACTGTGATGATGAAACGTGTTGTTGCATGACAGATTTGACATCCTTTGGTTCACCTTGGACTACACCCTTATGTGAAACCAGAAGCGTTACGGTTACCAATGTCTCAATCCATTGAGTTGGCGCTAGTGTGATCAATGGGGTTAAGAACTTAGATCCTATGGACACACCTTCCCCCACTCTTATTCAACGTCAATGAAGATGATTGCCGAGTTCAACACATCCTCTCCGACAACAAACTTCTCTTTCATCTATTCACCTTCCCCTTTAAAAAATTATCAAAAAAAAAAATCCATTATAAGAACATCTTATGAAATAAATACTTATCTCAGAATGTATAACCCTCAAATTCCATCTCGTGATTTAACTTAAATAATATCATGAATTAGAGATCCCCGGCTTAGAATTGTATAAAAATGAATTAAAAACATTGCCTTTAATATATCTTGTAATTCTTCTAAACCATTGATGTCGATGTCGTTCAAAATAAATTGATTAATTTTTGCATTCCATTGTCAATAAACTACAGTCCAAACTTTTCTTTTTCCCGTAAAAATGAAATTAGCATGAAATTTTCGGTTTCAGGAACCAGACCCGAACATGTGGTCAGAGTCAGACCCGACCCGTTGGAGAGCCTTTCGCTTAACCCCCGTAAGAAGTTCACTATTCTGCGTTCCTACTGTTCTCTCTTCTTCCCCCAAATAAATTTCTCCAAAAATATTAAAAACCCAAATATATATATATTTTCCGCGAGCTCTTCTTCTCTTCGATCGATCAAAGCATGGACGAACTAGAATCAGATAAACACGTGAAGTACATCCTCTCAATCGAAAAGGTTTTGCCTCGTTCTTTCTTAAATGCTTTTCTATATTTTGTTAATTGAAACAGAAAAAGGATGATGTCGAAGCTCTACTAATGGAGCACTTAAGGATAAACGGAGCTTATTGGGGTTTAACGACTTTGGACATTCTCCACAAGATCTCGGCAGTTGATCCTGAGGAGGTGATCTCATGGGTGATGAAGTGTTATCATGAAGATTGTGGTAAAATTTTGATGCATACCCTATTTTAAAGACTTCATTTTTAAGGGTTTGAAGAGGTTAATTAGTGTTTTTGGCTGTGATTTGTTATGTGGGTAAAACTTTTGCAGGTGGCTTTGGTGGGAATATTGGGCACGATCCTCACCTTTTGTACACGCTTAGTGCTGTTCAGATTTTAGCTCTTTTTGATCGGATTGATGTTTTGGATGCTGAAAAGGTTTCAATTTGTATCCTTGTTTGGTAGATTTTTGCTATTGTTGTAATCATATTTGAATTTAGATTGGCATACAAGTATTCAGTCATACAGTGTTGATCGATATTGCACTATGAGTTGACTGTGTGGTTGAAGCTTAGATTTAGATATATATGCATCTATTTATATGCAACTATTTAGAGTTAAGATATTATCCATAGTTTAGGAAAATTTCAGCTAGGATCCTGATTAAATGTTGGGAAGAGTTATGCTTTTCTGGATTTTGTATTTGCTAGATAGTTTTACTTGTTTATGAAATGGCCAATCCAAATTTTAGTCTCTTTTCAAGATGACTTTATGTTTCACTACTGAGAATTTTTTTTATTAGGCTTAAATTTGTCTGTGTAGAAATATTTAGAAGATTGCACAATTTGTCAAACCAGTTCAAATACAATTCAAACTTTGCTGTTGGCAAAGGGAACTGAGCTTCCACTAATTATTTTTTTGTGAGGAACATGTTAGATGATCTAAACAATTGAAAGTCATCTTTGTATTATATAAAAAACAAATCATCTTTGAACTAATATCAGCATAAAAGTATTCATTCATAAAATGTTGATTGATGTTGTGATTTCAGTTGACTATGTGGTTGAAATTGAGAAAAATGAGTTTAGACTTACATCTATATGCATCTCTTTGGAGTTGAGTTGTTATCCGCAGTTTAGGAAATATTTTAACTAGGATCTTATTGTCTTTTGAGAAGAGTTATGCTTTTCTGGCTTTCGTTGTTTGCTAGATACGTTTAGTTGCCCTATTGATGGAGATAATCTAAATCGTAGCTCCTTTTCTAAAAAAGATTTGATGTTTCATACTTAGAAATTTTTTAATGGGAGTTAGATTGGTCTATATTGGAAGATTATACGGGGTTTCAACTAGTTTCAGTACATTTAAGATGTTACTGGTTGTGCTGCGACTAACTATTTTTCCGGAGGAACTTGTTACATGATATGAGCAATTCCAACTATTTTTGTAGCGGAAAGAGAGCGTATTACTGATTTACTTCTGATGAACAGTAAGAAACCTCTGGCATATGCTTCTGAATTCTTCTCTAAATCTGGAGTTTCAAGCGAATTTGGAGTTTAAAACACTAGTTCTCCTTTGCACGCGATGTGTGTATGACACAATCTACACAAACACTTTTGTGTAATAAAAGTTAGTCGTTAAATCCCTAATAGTGACACTTACAAAGAGGTAATATATGAATTATTGTAAAATTTTTGAATAACTAAACATTACAAAACATTGGTGACATTTTCGTACACAAGTGAAAAGGATTTCTTCATTTCTAGGTTTTGGTAGTAATAATTATGAACTAAAGGCCCTTTGGTTGAACAATGGGCTCATCTAGAGTAGATTAGCAGAAAAATCACAGAAAGAATGTGCTTTGGACTAAATTACTTTTATTATTGGCAAAGAAAAGGTACATTAATCTCTCATGATTTTTTATTAGCAACCTAACAATTTAAAACTCAAAAAATGCAAACAAGAAGATACTTAAACTTAATAAAGGCAATTAATTAAATTCATAGGGAAAATGTGACAGGGCTTGAAAAAAAAACCATGAAATTCTTAGCCTTGGTCTCATCCATGCATGCCTTTGTTGAGGGTATTCGCTGCGGCCTTTGCCGAGGATGTTTGCCGTGGCCTTTGTTGAGGACGTTCGCCGTGAGGTCACAACATTCTTGTACTTTGTCGAGTTTTTGCATGTCACGTCCGTAAAAAGATTGTAGAAGGTGGTTTTAATTTATTTATCTTTCCACTCAAATGTAATAAGGATAGCTATAAGATGGGAGATATAAATGGACAATATTAATTAATTTCCTGATCTTTATAATGAACATAATCGGAACTCCATAACAAATGCAGGCACCTAAAGGGACTTGTCTCAATGTGGTCTTGAAATTTGTTCAAGAGGATGCGATATTTTTCAACGTACTGCAATTAGCCAAACGAAAATCAAGGTAAGTCATAATAAAAAATCAAACAAAGTGTTAATGTGGTGAGAAAATTATCATTCAGTGTTCATTGTACACCCTCTTCCCTGAATTTGAATACCACCTTACCGGCACTGCATCAACCCAACACCTATCATATATTAGTGACTTACCTAGAAACTCCATAGGTATTCATCTTCCATTTCTATGTAAGGTCTTGTTTGATTTTTTACTTTCTATATTGTTATTTGGCTCCTGCATTTCATTCTCACAGAGGAGGGTCTCATGAGTGAATAAGCGTGTTATTCAATAGGGGAATCAGAATTTCGGAGCAGACAATCCTCATTCAAATCTCTGAAGCAGTTAGTAGAAGTTGCAATGAGGGGGAAGTTTTGAACTGGTGGATAATTTGTTTGAGGTTTTTTGGATTTCCAAATTTTTCCTTTGGATTAGTTTCATTCTACTATAAATTGTTGAGGACATTTATTAAATACTTGAATTTGTGACTCACGTAGTTTTTTGGTGTCCAAAAGGTTGGCTTTTGATGAAAGTTGTTTCTGGTCTTTAAAATGACTGGATAGACTTTATTCTTTAAAAAATTGTTATTCTAAATTTGTAAGCAACTGCTTGACTAGACGAGAGGGGCCTTCCATGGGGAACTTCCCATTACCAATTCAACTCCTTCACCTCTGAGTGCAGATTCATTATCAGTTCCTTTCTTTTGTTATTCTTAATTCATGAGCTAGATGTTGCTGGTCTTCAAAATGAAGATGGATCTTTCTCTGGGGATATGTGGGGTGAAATTGACACGAGGTATGTTCTATTTTCTGTCCTAATGGCTTTTAATTTTGAGTAGAGTACATGTTGTGGAATTTTAAGTGTCCAAGGGTTTACTCTCAGTTCTTTATTTGTAGGTTCTCTTACTGTGCAATTTGTTGCCTTTCGATATTACACTGTCTCAATAAGATAAATGTGGAAAAGGCTGTGAATTATATTGTGAGCTGCAAAAATTTAGATGGTGGATTTGGGTGTACACCTGGAGGAGAATCTCATGCTGGACAAAGTATGCTCTTGCGGTCACAAAGCAGTTATTATATATTGTTATAGTTGACATTCATGCTTGTATATTACCAATGTTTAGCTCTTAACTTATCAATGGACATTTCTTATTCAAACTATTCATGAAGTTACTAGTCCACTTCACATTAGGAAATGTTCTTGCCTTAATGGACGACATACAGCTTGTGATCTAAGTTTCTATTCATCGTCAGTTCTACTCCCACTACTGTTTGCTTCCATCAAACCTGTAGATTACTGTGACTAGCTTTGATAATAAGCCTATTTGATTTGAATCGCTGTTTTATATTCAAAAGAGGATTATGTATTAGTTCATGAACTTTTGCATTGTTATTCCCTAAATCCACAAATTTTTAGCCTCCTAACCATGCAAGCTTCAAAGTTATATTAGTCTAGAACCTAGACTTTGTGGCTTAGTAAATTTAAATTCTAATTCTTGCTGTAATTGGGTTGTAACTTGTAAATAATATATTGTTTCTATTTAAAGGTAACGGCTCAGTAACAGTATAAATTTAATACTGGTTTAAGATTGTTTAGTAGATTTACAATAAAGTCATGTTACCATTTGGAAGTTTGAATATATTATTACTCTACAACAGATAAGGACCCTATATCGGATTTTAAACTATATCTACAGATGGATAAGGAGATCCATCATTTATATAATTTTTGTTGCAATAGTCATTAATTATCAGAGTTGTTAGTGTCATATTCAGTCTTCAACCAAATCTGCATAATTTTTGGGCATAATCTCAGTCTTTTACCGTGTTTTTGGCACAGTTTAGGTAGTAACGCAAAGTATATGGTACCTAGTAATCAGCCTAATGCTGCACTAGAGATGTTGAAGAGTTGAATTCAGGTCAAGCTTGAAACTTTGTCACGTAAATGTTGCTTACAATTCTATATTTTCTTTTTGTGATCATGACACAAAGCTCAAGAAAATATTATGCGCGCCCAAAAAATGCTTGTAGTCCGTCTCTGCAACTATTGTAAATAATGCTTCAGTAGTTGCGAAGAACTATGTACCATTTGTAATTTTCTAGAATTTTAGCTGTTTTAAAAAATAGTTAGTTAAATAAGAATGCGGGATGTAAATGGTTGTTTGCTGTGACAGATTAATCGGAAATTCATTTTTAGTAAATAAAATTTTAAAAATTGTGACATTAATCTGTTTTGGAAAAAATATATTAAATAAATCCGTGCATTGCGCGGGTCTGGAACTAGTTATATATTGTTATAGTTGACATTCATGCTTGTATGTTACCAATTTTTAGCTCTTAACTTCTTAGTGGTCATTTCTTATACAAACTATTCATGAAGTTACTAGCCCACTTCGCATTAGGAAATGCTCTTCCCTTAATGGAGGACATACAGCTTGTGGTCTAAGATCCTATTCATCATCAGTTCTACTCCCACTACTGTTTGCTTCCATCAAATGTGTGAAAATGTAGAAATAAGTTTTTTTTAATTTTTTTATTGCTCAGATTCAATTTCAAAGGTGTGTTTTCCCGGGTTCTTGCTGAGCATTTGGTGAATGCGGCGTGTTTTTCTTTTAACGGATTCTGTCATTTTCTTCTAGAATGCCAATCTCTGTGACTTTTACTTGCATATAAATTGTAATTTAAATAACTTCGAGGTGATTGTTCAGAGAATTAACAAATCTAAGTTATAGTTATAAAGATAGTATGATAAGATTATTAGTTTCCTTTGCTTCTAGCATCTACTATTTTGCTCAAATATTAAAAGTTACTGTTCCCTTTCTTCTAACTTAAAGCTACAACTGCAGTCTTCTGTTGTATTGGTGCCCTTGCGATAACGGGATCGCTGCATCATGTAGACAGAGACCTTCTTGGTTGGTGGCTATGTGAGCGTCAATGTAAAAATGGAGGACTAAATGGGCGTCCTGAGAAAGATGCAGATGTATGATACCAAACTATGATCTGTCTTTGAAATTAGACTCAAACATGTTTTTCTCTTCTTGCGCGTTAAATAGTCAAATCAATCATTGTAGGTCTGTTATTCGTGGTGGGTACTTTCAAGCCTAATTATGATTGATCGAGTGCATTGGATTGATAAGGATAAGCTTACAAGATTCATCTTAAACTGCCAGGTCAGCATTCTCTGAGTTAATACCCACCCATTTTGGTAGCATGGAATGATTTTGATCTGAAACGCTGGGCTTTATTTGGTTATATGCCTTTTTTGTTTGAATGTGCAGGATAAAGAGAATGGAGGTATTTCAGATAAGCCCAATTATGCTGTTGATGTTTTTCATACCTACTTTGGTGTAGCAGGTGTGAATAAAATCTATCATGTTATTTTATGTTTTTTCATATCAAAGGAGAAGGTTTTTTTTCCCTTTATTACTAGTTTTTTCATGTGCATCGCAAGGGAATTAGTATAACAGTATTATTGTACTCATATTGTGTTAGTATTAAGATTTGAAGAGTAACTATTAAAAAAAAAAATCTCTTCAAGATCAGTTTTGCATGTGGCAATCTTACTTTGCAACTGTATTTCGTCAAGTAAGGTTGTATTACAATGTTGGTATTTTTCCATCAGAATATATTAAATAAATAAATAATGACAACAGTTGAAAGTTTTTACATTAATTTTAGATTAAGAACGTATATGATAGAAGATAGAATTTAATTGGAAAATTGAATATAATACCCAATAGCGGGGAAGGTGAAGAGTTATATAGCTAATTATTTCATGAGAAAAGATTATAACATAAAGTATTAATTAACATAAGTATTAATTTCATGATAAAGATCATTCCCATTGCTTTTTTAATGGCGGTTTGGCAAGTGTAAGGTTGCAATATTGGTATATTCATAAGAATATGGTAAATGAATAATCAATGTCAGAGAAATTGGAAGCTTTATATTAATTTTAGATAAAGAAGTATGTTTTAGGAAAAGGTTGAATTAGAAAAATGAAAATAATACGTAATGGCAGGGTAGGTGAAGAGTTATATACCTAATTATCTCATGAGAAAAGATTATAACGTAAATATTAATTAACATAAAGTATTAATTTGATGAAAAATATTATAATATCATGAAAAAAGATCATAACATGAAGTATCAGTTTCATGAATAAGATTATAACATTAAGCATAATGCATTGTGGAAAAGATTATGTATGAATCATATTACAGAGTATATTGTATTCAAGTTCTGTTAGTTGTTAGCCATCTGTATCTAAATTCCTATTAGCTTGGCGTTATATTAGTTTTTAGCCATTAGTATTTTAATTCTATTAGTATATGCATTAAAGTATATGTTGTAAATGAGTGAATTAATTCCATGGAAGTTAAAATTTTAAAGCCCTAAGAATTTGCCCAGTGCATTTACAGCTTTACTTAGTATATAGTACTGGTTGTTTCCCATGTGATGTACGGGACTTAGTATTACAATATTGATGCACACATATTTTTGTAATATTATTATTTGTGTGAGACACTAAAGAAAGATATTAAGCCTGAATTAAATAAAGAAGAGGAATAAAAGAGAAAAGATGAAGAAAAAAAAATGCACATATGTAACTTATCAGCAAGAGAGAAAGAGGATTGCTAAACAATAAGGATTCACATAAATTTAATATACTGACCAAGTATTGTCAAAAACAATCATGGTACATTGACGCATTAGAAAATTACAATCAGTGTCATTGTCAAGCAAGTGTAAAGTACATGGTCATTTCTGAGCGATCTCTCGATCTATAGAGAATTTCCAAGGTGAATGAAACATAGAATTTCAGCGGCTAAGAATCTTTAACAATATATTAAAACAAACCCCCTAGAAGTCACATGACACAATTTCAGAGAGTTGGCTTGTCTCGTTTGTTTTGGTTGATCCATTTTATGAGAATATATTTGGAATACCCTAAGATATGATGTATAAATATACTCCCCAAAATGAGTTCATAAAGCTATAAATTTATTCTCTAACATCATCATGCATCAAAGAACACAATACAATAAAATAGAGAAGATAAAATAAAATACAAGTTTGAGCTTTCCAAAGCCAAATTAGTTCTACTTCTGGGTTAAAATTAGTCTAATATTGACGTTGATATTTACATTCAGATAGGAGTACCTTCGATTAACAAAATACTAGCATGATAGATAGGTTTCATAAGATTTTTCATATAAAATGGCGTAAAAGGGACTAAGTACCTAATAATAATCGAAAAACAAACTTTATTTATACTAATGAAATAAAGTGCAAACTATATTGGAAAGGGAAATAAATGAGGCTTTGGAAAGAACCTGAGAGTCCTAAAAAACTTGCATACTTGTTGGAGGCTAATTTGTTGAAGCACCAACTTTTGAAAGCAAACTTAAACTAAAAGAGTGTCCTTATAGCAATTTGAGAAGGAGGCGCTAGGGAACAGTTTTCCCTTTTTTGATGGTTTTCGGCCCTCTGTTAAAACGAAAGGGAGTGGATTTTGTAGGTTTGATCCTATGCCTCTAGGATTGCGCCACATGTTGCTCATCTATTAGAGAGCAGACCACATTGCTCACCATACGTCCTTCTTTTGCACACGTACGTGAGAGAATGGGGGGAATGAATATCTCTCCGTCCACTGAAGAATGCGAGAGGTGGGACTTTGGGTCGTCCAAGAATCTGGATGCATGCCACCAAGGATGTCACTGATGTGTCTGGGAATCGTATGTACAAAAGCACAGAAGTCACAGAGGCTCCCCCCTCGCGGCCCCCCCCGCCCCCCCCCCCCCCGACGGCGCCGTCCCCCCCCCCCCCCCCCTGACCTACCCTGGAACGAGCCAATACCGATGTTGCCCAATCTACTCCTAATTAGGGATGTTCATCGCGCATCGTGAAGAGATGGTGAGGGCCTCATTAGCTAGGGATAACGGTGAGGAGATGATAGTCAACAATGATGAAGATGAGGCAAAGAGGGCCTTATTGGTTGAAGATGATGACAAAGAGGCGATAAGGGCCTCAGTGGCGGCGGTCTTCGATGGCGACGAGCTTGAGGGAGCTTGCCTGTTGCTTCAGTCTTCGATGACGACGAGCTCGAGGGAGCTCGCTGTTGGCTTCAATCTTTGATGGTAACGAGCTCGAGAGAGCTCATGGTTCGCTTGGATCGTTTGACGTGAGCGTTGAGGCAGATTGATTAATGTCAACTGTGATTTGATGAGCATTGATGATGGCGATGAGTTCGAGCAATGACAGTACATCGATGGCGAGCATTGAGAGACTCGATTGACATCGGCAACGGGGATAGTTTGATGAGCCCGTCATGTGAGGCTCGTCCTTTGACAATGTCGCTAGCGAAGGTTTGAAGCATTGATAAGCTACAACGATGACAATAATATGTCGATGAACTCGTTGTGCGGAGTTTGTCACTCGGCGATGTTGATAAGGGTCCATGGCGTTGATAGGGTTATGACGAGCCTTGTAATAGGGGAGGGTGATGATGAGCCTTGTAACAGGCGAGGGCAACGATGATGGTAGTGTTTGAATAATTGTGACGATGATGACATTTTCTGAATGATACATTCGAAAGAAATGACGAGTCCTATAACAGGCGAGGGTAATGACGATGATAGTGTTTGAATAACTGTGACGATGATAGCATTATCTGAACGATACATTCACAGGTCAGTAGCTTTGATGAATAAACTACAAGAAAATATATAATGCTATATATACTATACTTCATATACATTGACAGCATAATAGTTTTTTCACACATCTACATGGTTGTTAATATTTCATATAATAATTAGTAGTTTTTTCTCACCCCCTTCATTGAGGATATTCATTGTGTTCTTTTCCAATATGTTGCACTATTAATCTTCTTTATAGTTAATTAATAATTTTTCTACCATGATTCAAGAAATTCAATGCAAACTACAACTATTTTTTTTCAAATAAAATATATGGTAATCATCACTCTTGAAAATCAGGGGTCACTTCTTTGCTTTAGCCTTGAATTTATTTGGTTTTGTAACATTTGGCAATGGAGTTGACATTGAAAGAATGATGGGAAAATGATAAAGAGCAGGTGGCCATTAGTTCGTCGTCGAAGCATTCTGCTAAAGAGCAGAGATGGAGGAGCAAAATCAATGACAAATGAGTTTTTTGTTGTTTCATCAATCTTCCATTGTTCAGTGAGCATGAAAATGAAATTTTATTTCATGCCTAATTTATCTTTAGTTTTTTTATTAGTTTTGGTTAAATAGAACTTCAGTTCCTACGAGTTCACAAACTGGAAGAAGTAAAAAAAAAAACTAAAAATGAGTCAGGGACAAAATGAAAATTTCATTTTTCATGCTCATTGAACAATTGGAACTTGATGAAACTACAAAAAGAACTAGCATGTTATTGATTTTGCTCCTCTTCCTCTGTAGGTAGCAGAATGTTTTAGCCGCAGAGTCATGGCCTTGTACTGTTTTGCCTTTCCCATCAATTCTCAATGTCAACTCTATTATCAAAATTGACAAAATCAAGTAAACCTAAATTTTACAGCCAATGGGTTAAAAGCAAATGAGCAACCCCCGATTTTCAAGAGTGATGATTGCCATGTATTGCATTTGGAAGAAAAATAGCTCTAGTTTGCATTGAATATTTGAATCGTGATGAGGAAAAAATATTAATTAAACATAAAGAAGATTCTATTGGAAGATAATGAATTGAATACCTTGAATGAATGAGGTGAGAAAACAATTGCTAATTATTATATTAAAGATTATAGTGAACTCTCTAAGTTATGCCTTGTAGCTTCTTGTTCTGTTTCTGTATATTGTTATTGATTTTTAGTTTCTAGATTCAAATTAAAGTCCTTAAAACATTACCCAAATTGGTGATTTGTTTTCACGGAGTATTGAGGTTTAACTTTTCAATTTGTCTTTAAAAAGCGTAATTTATTTAAGAGCTTTGCTTCATTGCACTTAATATTATTTTATATTTCTACTTAGAGGGTAATATAAGAAAACTGAAAAAAATTCATCTTATCTTAGTTGTTCGCTTTTCTGTCGCACCAACTAATACACTTCCCCAGCCATTACATTGATTATTTATTCATTCCCATGTAAGGGTACAAAATTCATTTCATAAGGATGCGATCTAGATGTTGAACAAAGTGATGTTAGTACCTAGGAAGTAGACGATGAAAGTGAAAGTTACCATGACTGAAAATGATAAAAACTAAGATTATGATATAAAGATTAAATAGAATAATTCTTATTGTCTATGATAATGAGTTCATATGATGCCACGAGGTAGGTTTAATGTAACCACTAATCTATTAAGCAATCATTTAAGGAAGATGGTTGATGAAAATTGAGTGCATTTTTTAGATGTTGAAATTATATTAATCACTAAAATTGCCGTTAG